TGCTTTACCATGATACTAAACTGAAGTTTTAATATTAAAAATGGAACTTAGGGCACATGGTTTTAAGCAAAATAAAGTACTCTGATATTAAAACATTATGCAAAAGCCCCAAAACAAAAACCTTGATGTAAACCAGAGATCACAAGTGAGCCAGATGGATCTGAGCAGAAACCAGATGGAATTTCAGGTTCTTCCATCCTCAGTGCGGCCTTGGTGGTTGCCAAGAGGTAAAGGATGACAGTGGAAGATGGAAGGCACAGGAAGGTCAGCAGAAGCCATGCTAGGGGGGAGTAGTGCGGGATGCAGGGGTGGAGCTTCCCATCAGCAGCAGAGAATCCCAGCCTCAAAAGATAGCGTGGGCAGATTGCTAGGTGCTGAAGGTAGTAGGTACGACTAACGAATCCGCGTAAGAGTATTGATCACTGAGAGCACGCAAACCGCGATGTGGTGCAGGGACCCACATGGTGGCTGTGTGTGCCGTGGGCTGCCTCGCAGCCGAGCCACCTGACGCCGGGGGCTCAGCACCTTTTGCAGCAAGCGGCGAATGGGCCAGTCTTTGCGCTGTGGCCACCTTGGCCTACGTAGTTGCCTGTATGACCAGCTGTGGGAACTGCAGACTTCAAACTTTTTAAAAATTAATTGAATATGATCATGTATGTCATTGTTTGACCTTCTGGTAGAGGAGGGGAGAGCATTATTCCGAATTTGTTTATTTAATTAAATTTGTTTAAGTTTATTTATTTTGAGAGAGAGAGTGCATGCAAACAAGCTGGGGAGAGGCAGGGAGGCAGGGAGAGAGAATCCCAAGCAGTCTCCACGCTGCCAGCACAGAGCCCAACTTAGGGCCGGATCCCATGAGCCATGAGATCATGACCTGCACTGAAGTCACTTAACTGACTGAGCCCCCCCGGCGCCCCCGAAACTACTCTAATTTTATAAATGACAGAGACTCCTACTGTGGAAAGCCTTGGAGTCCTACTTCACAGAAAATGTTCTGCATGTGGAGACGAGGAGTGGTTTTTTGTGTGTCTTTCTTAACACTCTAAACTTCTCTGCTAATTCAGGCACTCTTTGTACACAGGAGAGTGCACATTTAAGCTGCTGCTTCTGGCAAGATTTCTGCTATACACAGGTACTGAACGTAGATGTGTGATTTTTGTAGATCTCTGTATGTGTGAAAAATAAAGTTCTGAAATTGTGATCTGTCCGGGCCTGTGAGATTGTGCTGTGTGCGGGCAGCCTGTCCAGTCCTTTTAGTGCTGTGAAACAGGGCTCTGAATGGGCCTTTTCAGCTTTGGGGGCGGCTGTCGCTTTTTATTCCTCTGCTCCAGGAAACCATGTTGCTGGTGTTGGCGGGCTTTCAGATCCATTTCCTCACTGGCTGCCTCCTCTTTCCTTCCTTCCTTCTCTCCTTAGCTGTGGCCGTCCACCAGGAGTTAGCCTTCTCTTGGATCCTGGTATCTTCTACCGGTCCACACCCTCTCTTAACGTCCCGCTTTCTCTTCTGACAGCTTTGGGGTCTGAACTTACATGTTATGCCATTCGTTAAAATTCAAATTTTGAGCTAATTTTATACTTGTAGAAAAGTTGCAGAAATAGAACAGGGAGTTCCTCAATTTTCTACCTTCACCTCGCTTCCCCCAGTGTTTACATATTATATAGCCATTTGTTATACAGGTGCTTGGGCCAAAACTAAGAAAGAAACATCGGTGTGGTATTATGATTTTATTTTTTTTCTTAAAAAAATTTTTAACTTGTGTTTATTTTTGAGAGAGAGAGAGGGAGGGCGGGAGGCAGTGAATCTGAAGCAGGCTCAAGGCTCTGAGCTGTCAGCACAGAGCCCGATACAGGGCTTGAACCCACAAACCCTGAGATCTTGACCTGAGCCGAAGTCAGATGCTTAACCAAGTGAGTCCCCCAGGTGACCTGGTACAGTATTAGCAACTGAGCCACAGACCTCATTTGCATTTTTCCTGTGTTTTCACTGTTTCTTTTCTGTCCGAGTATCCAATCTGGGATCCCACATCACATAAAATTCTTTTTTCTCCTTCGTCTCCTCCAACCTGTGAGAACTCTGTAGTCTTCCCTTGTCTTGTTCGACCTTGACACTTTTCAGGAGTAGCGCTCATTATTTATTTTGTTGCTCAGATAGTTCCAGCCTTCACCATTAGGAGCATCTCGGGTTGGCTCCTATGTCCTTTGAACAAGTTTCATCCTTTTACGAGCACGCCTTCATTGTGGCACAAAACGTTTCCATCTCCTTTTGTACTTGCCTTGCCTCAGCTCCGGAATTAGCTTCTTGTCCAGGGAGCCCTGGTTTCTCTTACTGAAGAATGGGCCTTCAGAAACCAAGATCTGGGTGCTGGGTGTGCTCTGTGGTATGAGGTGTCATAGCTTGGAGGCCTTTTCAGCAGGGAAAGCTACGACATGTATGTGTTTATACCCACAAGTGTGTGGACATCTGTAGCTCTGCCTCTGTTACGTGCGTGTGTGCGCGTGTGAGAAAAGCTGTAGGTTTGTACTGCTTCCTTCTGACGCCAGCCCCTCCCCGGAGTATAGCTCTCCATTACTGCAGAACTTGGCCCGCCCACCCTGGGAATCCTAGCTCGTCTTTAGATTCATAGAGCTTAGTCCGATACTGTGCTGTGACTCCGTTCTTAACTACCCTCCTGTGGAGCGACGGGCTTGTCTGTTAGGGCTTGTGTTCCATGTCGGCTCCCCCACGCTGTGGTTGGTTTCATGATTTTAGCTCCTGAGTATGTGAAGGGCGTGAACCATGCTTTGGTTCTGAGGGGCTGACACACACAGGGGTGAGGAGAGGGCCAGGCTGCCTCACCCCTGTTCTCCGGAACCCCGTTTCCTCTCCTTTCCTGCCCCGGCCCCCCTTCCTTCCATATGTAACCAATCTCCGTTGTTTCTGACTTATTCTTCCAGTGTTTCTTTGGTTTCGTGTCATTTTATTTTTTTATTATTATTTTTAACGTTTGTTTATTTCTTAGAACATGCACAAGTGGGGGAGGGGCAGAGAGAGGGGTCAGAGGATCCGAAGCAGGCTCTGCACTGACAGCAGACAGCCCGGTGCGGGGCTCGAACTCACGAACTGTGAGATCATGACCTGTGCCAAAGTCGGATGCTTAATTGCATAAGCCACCCAGGTGCCCTGGTTTTGTGCTGTTTTAAACTCCTCAGACTTGCGGGAAAGATTGTCCACAATGTGGCGTCGGGGATTGCCGTCCCCGCTTCCTCCCTGCCGCTCCTGCCTTGTCTGAGAGGAGCCTTGTCTGAGAGGAAGACGGCACCACTGCCAGAGAGGGGGCTGCAGCTAGAAGCTCCTGTGTTAGAGCCTTAGCGTTGTTACATTTTGACTGCGTGGATATAACTCGGTAACGTTTAAAGTTAAACGTGTCTTATTTAACAGCTAATAAAGCAGGAAGGAGGTAGGAAAGAATGTACCTTTTCCTACATCATCTTATCCACTAGCTCTCCACTATTACTAGATATTTTAGTTCATTTTTAGGCATACAAATACTATGTGTTCTCCTTGGGGAAAAGGAAAGAAAGCTTACTCTTTCTTTTCTCTCTTCCCCTGAGCCCCCCTCCCCAACTATTTTTCTTATCTTTTTGGAGTCTTTATACTTTTCTAAACATAGGAGCCCATAGGAAAAAAATATATGTTGTTTTATAAGGTGTGAGTTATTTTTTTTATTCTGAGAGACAGCACAAGTGGGGGGCGGGGGCCGCAGAGAGAGAAGGAGAGAGAGAACGCCCAGCAGGCTCCCTGCTGGCAGCGCCAAGCCCATCACGGGGCTCGATCTCACGGATCCATGAGCTCATGACCTGAGCCAAACCAAGAGTCGGACCCTTAACCGATTGAGCCACCCTTTTAAATAAATAGGTGTACTTTATCTTGTAGCTTGCTTTTTCACTCGCATATGTCTCTAGAAGATGTTCCTACTGTGTAGATAGCCCTGCCCCATGTTTTTAACATCTGCAGAGTATTTCTTGGTGACTGTCCTTCCGCGTGACTGTGGGTGCACGTGTGTGGAGAAGCAGCGGGCCGCAGCCTGTGTCCACGTCTCCCTGCGGTCGCAGGTGGAGGCCGCTTCCCGCCTCCCACCAGCGCCGTGGCTGGGTAGCAGCTCTCCACCGCTCACCATGCTTGGTACCTCCCGTGTCTCAAGTTTGGGACAGTTGGAGGGTAGGAAGGGGTGTCCTGTTTTAATTTGCTTTCCTCTGAAAGAGGGAAGTTGAGTGTATTTTCATGTACTTCTAAGCCTTTTACTTTTTTTCCTTTGGCTTGCCCATTTTGAATTGCTTTCTTTTTCGTATTAACTTGTATGAGTTCCTTGTTCGTGCTACATTCATTCGTGTAGCCAGTATTTATTGAGCTCTTAATATGCCCAGGCCCTGCTACACGTGCTGGGGTAATAGCAGTAAACCAGTTTCCTAATTTCACAGAAGTTCAGAGGAAGCAGGACTGAAGAAAATAAAAACAAGTCAAGCAGATTATGTAGATGTTAGTAAGTGCTATAAAAAAATAGAGTCGTGGTAGAGAGACTACCTGAGTGGGGAGGAAGCCCCCGGTTCTCATTACAGACTTCACCCTCTAAGTGTTTGCATTGAGGCGGGGTGGTCGGGGAAGGCTTCTAGGAGGAGGTGGGGCTGGAGTTGACATCTGAACGATGAGAGGCCAGCCATGGAAGTGTCCACACACAGCAGCGTCTGGGCCCTCTGGCGGGACCCAGCGAGGGGAACCGGGTAGCAGGTGAGACCATCGCAGGGAGACAGAGTGCGGGTGATTGTCAGGGACGTAACTCCGGGGGACCCGCGAGGTGGGTTGAGGGGGAGGTTCCTCCAGCTCATGCTCCCACTCTGTTTAGGCACGTGGCCAGAAAGAGCTTCGCTCTGGGGAATTTGTGCAGCAGGACTTGATTATTGGGTTTTGTGGTTGTTTTAAGGCATAGGCTTTTTCTTTAATAAAGGAACATTTTCTGTTTCAGATTACCTAGGAACAGTACGATTTGGGGTTATCACAAATAAACATCTTGCGAAACTGGTATCCTTAGTACACTCTGGAAGTGTGTATTTACATAGACATTTCAACACATCACTTGTAAGTATTTTGAAATCACATTTATATTAGCGCAGTGGTTCTTAACCTTGTCTAGGTCATGGACTTCTTTGAGAATTAGATAAAATCTGTGGGCACTCACCCTAGGAAAGTGTACATGATTTTATGTGGAAACTTAGAGTTTCGACAACCCCGCTCTCGAGCCCTGGTCCCCAGTTAGGAACCCAGGCGTTAGAGGGCTCTGGAATGTAACATCTAGAAATTCTTTGTTTATGTTCTTCGATTTTGGCACGGCCTCATTAGTTTTCCTCCTTGGGTGCAACGGCAGGATTATTCTGTTGGAGAATTGGTGCTCTGGGCCCATGTCCTTGGAGGTTAAGCTTCCATCAGGCGAGGACATCGCTTGTTCATTTGTGCCGCTCGTCAGGAGTACTGATGTGACATGCTTTTCTCCGTAGCTGAGGAAACGGATTTTGAAGTTCTTGTTAAGTTAACCGAGGCGACAGAGCCTCTGTTTTCTCTGGTCGTCTTTGTTCCCTGATTTCCTTGCCTCTTGGTGGGCCAGCCCCCCTCCGCTGTTTCTAAGCTTTTGGCCTGCGTCCCGCTTAATCCTGTGCCTCTTCTTTTATCGTTGCTTCCTCAGTGCCAGCACTGAGAGTTTATTGTTCTTACCTGTTTTCTGTCTGACTTCACTGACCGTGTGAGCGGAGGCCCATGTCCCTGCAGCCCCTGTCCGCGGCCTGTTCAACCCGTGCTCCCCTCGGCCCAGTGCGCGAGTCTCACGCCCGGGGGGCCCCCTTGGGGGCCAGTCCCCCTGGCTTCCGCAGGTCCCTCATAGGCCAGATGCTCTGCTTTATTTCTTGTAGTTCGTATTCTGAAAGTCAAATGGATTTTTGTGCTTTCCAAATAGAAATGCACATACTGGGTTTGGGTATGTTTTTCAAACTCCCGCCGGCCCACATGGAGGACCCTGCGGTGGTGGTTTCTCTCCCGCTCTTCTCGTGCCTCCGTCTGAGCTTCTGACTTCCGCTGCTCTCCCCGCGTGCCCTTCTCCTCCATCGCCTCTTACCGCCAGCGCGCGGCGGGTGCATTTACAGGGGAGGGCACGGAGCAAGGAGCTTACAGTAGAGAAGAGAAAGCAGGGTGCTGAGAATGGCGCTCACAGATACATTGGGTTTTACTGCATCGGGTGTGTAGTTTCTAAGGTTGGTTGGTTGGTTGGTGGAACAGCAGAATTCCTTTTATCAAATGCAGTATCACTGGGACACCGGTATTTTAAACAGGCCGGGGAGGTCTTTGTCACGAGGCAATTTAAGTCTCTGCTTTGGAGATTATAAAATATCTCACTTTGTGGAACCCTCCAAAGCACTGCAAAAAAATTTGGGAGGTTTGTTTAAAACCCAGTGATTCGTATTGTTGGAATTTCAGTAATAATTTTATGTTGACATACTTTGGTTGTTACAGAAAAAAAGCACAAAAAATCTTAGTGTCTCTTGCCTTCATTCCGTACATGTGAGCGTGATCTGTGTCCTGATATAAGTTCTAGGTCATTCGTGGATTCGTTCAAATATTTGTTCTTCTAGTCCCTGGGGCTCCAGGTGACCAAAGCAGATACAATCCCCTGGCCTGGCGGGGCATGGCTCCTGCCCGTATGAGCCGATCTTTGAGGAAGCAGTGTAAAAGTCCAAGGGATCCTTGACTTGGTATTTTCTCTTCCCTTGGGCATTCACTGCTGCTTCTCTGAGAACCCAGTAAGATGAAATAGGTCCCCTTGGCCAGGGCGGAAGATAGGGACAGCGCTCCGCTGGGGGGTGGGTCCGTCTAAGGGGAGCCAGAGGGCTCTGGGATGTGACGGTCACTTCTCGAGGCCACTCCTGCCTTCGCAAGCGCTTGTGCAGGGCTGCTGTGTGTGTGTGGGGGGGGCAGCCCGGGTCTCCCTGCTGTACGCGGGCATGGGGGGACGGGGCGGGTGGGGCCTGAGCCGCCCTGCCTCCACCCGCCCCGTGTCATCCTCCGCAGGTCTTTCCCGGGGAGGCCGCCAACTACACGGCCGAGAGCATCCACAAGTGGGCCTTGGAGAACCGCGAGGCGCTGCTGCGCTGGCTGCGGCCACACGGCGGCAAGAGCCTCCTGCTCAACAACGAGCTGAAGAAAGGGCCGGCGCTGCTCGTGTTCCTGCCTTTCGATCCCCTAGCCGACAGCCACCCGTTAGTGGATGAGGTAAGAGGCCCCGTGAGGAGCAGCAGAACCGCGTGCGCAGGGGACCGCCCGCCCCACACCCCGAGGGCTTGCCGCCCGGCCACACTCCCTCCCCGTGCCCGGACAGGGTCCGCCGCGGCCTCTGGCCACGGCCGCTCGGGCGGGGGGGGGGGGGAGTCGGTGGGGACGGCCATCCCAAACCACGCCTCCCCAGGGAGGGCCTGATGTCCCTCTCGCTGTGATGACCGGTTCGGGAGGGGAAGAGAGGGGCCGGCCGGTGGCGTGGGCGGCTGTGGCCTCTGGGACGCCTGCCCGCGGGCCCTGACTGTCCTCAGCCGGCAGCCAGGAGCGCCGGTGGGGACCCTGGGCTCCCTCGTTGCTCGGAGCCTTTCCTTTCCTGTCGCGCAGGCAGCCAGAGCGGGTTTCAAAGAGCACCGCTGTTGGGAGTCTCTGCCCCTCCGCCCGCTTTTCCGGTTTCAGCTGCTGCACTCACTCTCTGGGTGTGAGTTTCTTTTCTACGTGGATCATTTGGAGGCACTTAGAGCAGTGACAGTTACCAGGGAGCGCCTGGGATTGCTAAATTGGATTTACCGGGGGGGAGGGGGGTGTTATATTTTCCTTCCCTCAAGGATCCCTTAATTGGCCAGAACCGATTTCAGACAGCCGGTGTGACACCCGAGCCCCTCCGGTGAGCCTGATGGTCTGCCCGGAAGCAGCAGGGAGACGGGACTCTTGCCCAGCCAGATCCCTGACCTTGCTCCTCTGGAGCCTGTCTGTGGACATGATGAGCCCTGCGGCTGCACTGGATCAGAGGAAGGGAGCACAGAAGCTAGACAGCCATGTTTCCCCTCATCTGATTTGGGGGGCCCGATGTAACAAAACCTTCTCATGCTCAGGTATTTTATGGACTGAGACACTCTCCAGAACTACTTGGCTTTCACTGCCTCGAACAGTAAGAGCCTTAGGCTGTTTGCAGAAAAGGTGGGATGTGCAACCAACATGTTAGCTCTGGTTTTGGATCTTTAACTTTTAAAATTTCTTTCTGGAGAATTCTGTCTGGTCTGGTTTGGGCTGGTCAGGGTCCTGGCTGGGGTGATGTTTTGGGACTGGAGCTCCATTCCTCTGTTCAGGGGGTTGTGGTGGGATTTAGGGCCTTAGGAAGGCCCTTGCTTTTCTGCCTTCCCCCCCCCACCCCCCCCCCCCGTTCCCCCGTCGATGGCCAGGCCTTCTTGTAGTGTCAGAGTTTGCCTGTGGCTCCTTTCCTCAAGGCTCAGGGTGTCCCTGCAAGGTGAATGGACCCCCTAGCCTCAGCGTATGGCTGGGCTTGGCGAGAACCAGATGGCGGGCGGCTTACCAGTATTATGAACTCCTTAGGCAAGCAAAGTGCTGTGTGCGGTACATTTCCTTCTTTGTTTTAGGTCAGTGAGTCATGGGGGACAAGGCTGGAGAAGACACCGCCTTGCTCTCCTGTCCCCAGGGGCTTGTGAAGTAGAGCTTGCTTCCAAATCAAGGCCCGGGAAGCTCAGCCCCAGGCTCGGATCGGGAGGAATTGGAGGAGAGAGAGCTGTGTCCCAGGAACCTGGCAGCTGGGCAGGGCTGAGGTTGGGAGAGGCTGTGGGCAGGGCAGGTACTTGGGACAGACTTTCTGGGTGGCCAGGATGTTGATGAGATGTTGAGGCAAACTCAAGGGAAGGAGAAGCCTGAACAGAGGCACAGAGGAAGGGAGGTTGCTGCGGGTTAGTGCTAAGATGTAGTGCAGGTTGTGTGGGCCCCATAAAGGGCTGGTTGGAGAAGCCACAGATAGAAAGCCTGAAGAGGAGAAGCCCTTGGGTGCTGCTTTGAGGACATCAGGATTAATCGTGGCCGTCAGAGCCTTGCTGACCACGGAGAGATGTCAGCAGAGCTGTGTGTTACTGTTTTTGTTTTGTTTTTTAAATTTTTTAAAAATGTTTTTATTTATTTCTGGGAGAGAGGGAGAGAGAGACAGCATGAGAGGGGGAGGGTCAGAGAGAGGGAGACACAGAATTGGAAGGAGGCTTTGGGCTATGAGCTGGCTGTCAGCCCAGAGCCCGATATGGGGCTCAAACCCATGAGCCGTGTGATCATGACCTGAGGTGAAGTCGGCCGCCTAACCGACTGAGCCCCCCAGGCGCCCCTGTGTGCTACTGTTACTCACCTCATCCAGGCAGTCGTGTTCCAGGAAAGCAGGAAGATGTGAAATGCTGAACTTGGATGGTGGTGGGGATGGGAAGTGGCAGGCGGGAAGCTCACTGGCTGTTGAGCAGAGAGAAGTGGCGGACAGCGAGGGTGGTAGAGTCGGGGTTCTCCCCACATGGCGGGGACCATGCTGGGGGGCACACAAGCCCATGGCCGTGTGGCCGTTCCCCTGTGAGCTGCGGGCCAGGACCGGCAGCTGCTGACACACACACACACTCCCCAGGCCGGAGAACACGGCCTGCACCGCACACGGTGTCGGGCCACTGACCCCCTTGCATCCCTGGAGTGAGTCCTGGAGGGCTCGTGAGACCTCTCACTGTGCTTATTATCACATGACCCAGTGATTTGTTTTTAGCTCGAGCAGCACTGCTTTGAGGCATTCCCAGCGTGGGAGTCGGATGAGCAAAGTCATGGCTATCTTATTGGGACTTAAACATTTGTCTGATTCAAGAAAATGGAAGAAAGTATTTACAGCACACACATTTAAAGTTATTGCCACATTTTCCTTGTTCATGTGAAATTAAATATAACATGAAGCAATCCACATGCAAGATGGAACTGGACTTGGATTTTCAAAGCCACCCATTGTGTGAAAAGAATATAAAAGTATAAACCAGTTCAGTTTACAGAAGAAAAACTAAGAATTCCTCACTTGTTATTTTTTATTATTACTTTTTTTATGGTTTATTTATTTTTGAGACAGAGAAAGAGTATCGTGAGCAGGGGAGGGGCAGGGAGAGAGGAGGAGGCACCAGATCCCAAACAGGCTCCAGGTTCTGGGCTGTCAGCACAGACCCCTGTGCAGGGCTTGAACCCACAAACTGTGAGATCATGACCTGAACCAAAGTTGGACACTTAACTAAGTCCCTCAGGTGCCCTGAGAATTCCTCACTTTTTAAGAGCATTACTCTATACATGATAGTTTCCTTTCTTTTTTTTCAATGATTATTTTTTTTTGATAGAGACAGAGCGAGCAGGGGAGGGGTTGGGGGGGGGCGTGCGGAGACAGAGGATCCAAAGCAGGCTCTGAGCTGACAGTAGTGAGCATGACACGGGGCTCGAACTCAGAAACTGTGAGATCATGACCTGAGCCGAAGTCAGATACTCAACCTTTTGAGCCACCCAGGTGCCTCCAAATTATTTTCTTCAATTAAATATTGAATATCCTTGGGGCATCTAGTGGCTGAGTCAGTTGAGCGCTCCCGACTTTGGCTCAGGTCATGATCTCATGATCTGTGGGTTTGAGCCCCGCGTCAGGCTGACCCCCCGCGTCAGGCTGACAGCTCACAGCCTGGTGCCTGCTTCAGATTCTGTGTCTCTTTCTCTGCCCCTCCCCTCTTTGCACGCTGTCCCTTTCTCTCTCTCAAAAATAAACATTAAAAAAATTGTTTTAATAAAAAATATATAAAGAAAAGTATCCTTTACGTGACTGCTCTGCTTATGAGCAATGTTGTGAAAAAGAGATGAGGAAAAAGACATTTTCAGGAATTTTGTCCTTAGTATGCTCCTGCTTGGACTTTGAAAATACTTCAATTTTTGTGGGGTTTTCTGGGGGTTGGGGGGTAGGGGTGGGAGTAGTGATCTGGTGTGTCTTTGAGTGTAAACCAGTACTGAGGTGGGGCTGGGGGCTAGCTGGGCTCCTCAGGGGTCCTGTAGACTTGACCTCGTTAGTGTAATGTGCTCTCAGAGCCGTATCCAGAAAGGGTTGAGAGGTTTTTGTGTGTGGAAGTAAGTAAAACACTGGTGTATCATCTAAAAGGATCTTTTTTTTTTTATGCCCAAGAATTATTCAAGGCTTTTTCTGTACGAATACATATGTCTTGAATTAACACTGTCTATATAAATACCGTATAAAAATTTGGAGGTTTTTTGAAATTGGAAAAGTACTTGTTAAGTACTTGTACACATGTGCGTGTGTGTGCGCCCATGTGTGCACGCGCGCGCACGCACACACACACAGACTTTAATGAAACAAAGTCCTGAGTGACTTAACACCTTTTAATGAGCTGGCACATTTGCTCCAAGTTAGCGCACACGTCTCATTTAGAGAGTAAATGGAGTAAATGCCTTTGGATTATGACTTGCTTTTCTTGTGAAACTCGGGTGGGTAAGTGAAAGGTATTTAATATGAAAATAGAGTCTTAGAATGAAATGTAAATCTTAAGAAAAAATATTTTTTATGTTTATTTTTGAGAGACACAGAGATAGCTTGAGTCGGGGAGGGGTAGCAAGAGAGAGGGCAACACAGAATCTGAAGCAGGCTCCAGGCTCTGAGCTGTCAGCACAGAGCTGCACTCAGGGCTGTGAGATCATGACCTGAGCCGAAGTCAGACACTTAACCGACCAAACCACCCAGGTGCCCCGAAATGTGAATCTGATCAGGCTGATACTGATGTGAGGGTAAAGGGATTAATCTCCCCAGGAAGCAGGAATGTGTATGTCGCCCCGAGATGCCAGATGTTTCTTGGGTATTTGTTATGTGCCTGGCTCTGTGCTGGGTCCTGGGGAGAACAGGGTAATCAGGAGGGTCCTGTGAGGGCCCGTGAGCTTGTGAGGAAGAGGGGGTCTTGGCAGACACTTGGGGGACCGTGGGAAGGGCTTTGGGACCCTGAAGATGAGGAACCTACCTCTTTACGGTGGTGGTAACTTTACTGAAGCAGCTGCCTTGACGCTGGGTCTTGGGGACAGTATTGAGGTTTGTCACATGAAGGAGGTCCTGGCCTGGCCCGGACTCAGGGGAGGGTGGGGCGACACTGGAGAGGCAGACTCAGGCCAGGCTGTGGTAGGTTTTAGTCCCTGGGTAGTAGGGAGCCATCGAATGTCATTTGGCAGAAGAGTGACGTACTTGGGGTTGTAGTTTTCAAATGAATGGTAGTGGTGTGGAGGCTGAGTCAGGCAGGGGAGAGCAAGTGCTGGGGGTCTGTGAGGACTGAGGGCCCGAGTTGAGGCAGTGGCCCTGGGGACGCAAAGGAAGGGGCCCGCTTCGTGTTGGCCGCTTCGAAGCCACCCGCGGGTGGCTGCGCCGGAGGCTGGGGCTGGAACTCCATGATCATCTCCCCCACACACCCCCCACCCCCACCCCCGATGGTGCTGTTTGCCCAGACTGGGCGGCCCCGGGGAGGAGGAGGCTGTGGGAAGGCATGACTGATGAGTGTGGCTTGGAGCAGGCTATGTTCGGAGCCCCCAGTGAGGTGTGAGTTTATCTGGAGACACGGATGCCATGAAACACCGTGGCCCGCTTGGGTGCTGGGCAAGTGCTGAGGCTGCTAGTGTGTGCGGGGCGGAGGGGCAGAGACGCACTGGGAGGGGCGCTCGCCTGGGATTGACATTGAACACGCCTTGCTGGTACCTCGACGGCCCGGACACGTGTAGCGTGGCAGATGGAGCCGGAGACGTCTGCCTCTCCGGCCCCTTGTCTGCACGGTTGGTTCACTGTTACTAGTCACGTGTTCGGGAAGGTAACCCAGGCGTCTTTACTCGTAGCTTTTGGCAGGACAGCTTCCTGTTGGACGCGGTGCTTCGGCCAGGCTCCTCCTCGGGAGCCCCGCTAGGATGCTGTGCGGGCCTGCAGCCCGGCCCTCGCCTGCCTCGCCTCTCATGAGCTCCGCCCTGTGTTTCAGATCACCCAAGTGGCCTTGGAGTACCGCAACTGTCACGCGGACCAGGTGGTGGAGCGGCTCCTTCAGCACCTGCGGCGAGTGGACACCCCGCCGTTCACGTCTCTGGCCCCCGAGCCCCCCGCCCGGCTCTGCTGCAACAGCGTGCTGCTGCCCCCGGGACGCGCCGCCCCCGGCACCCACAGCGTCTGCGAGCTGTGCGTCAGCCACACCGCGGGCGGCGGCCGGCCCCCGCCTGCCGGCGCGCCCCGCTGCAGCTCTTCCCAGGTGGCGGCGGCTCTGGACTCTTTCTACCTCAAGGAGCAGACCTTTTCCCACGGGGCGCCGCATGGCTTCGCGTGCAGCAACTTCCTGAGCTCCTACAGCCCTTTCAGCTACTACAGCGCGTGCTGCAGGGCTGTGGGCAGGGCCGTGACGGGCTGCCTTGCTTCTGGCCGGGCTGCCTCTGAGACCCCGGCCGTTGCGTTTTCTCCCCTCGAGAAGAAATGCGAGGCCCATGGCCCAGGCTCGGTTCCTCACATTGAGGAGAACAGCTGTCTCTTCCCCGAAGTGGGCGCGAGCAGCACGCGCTTCACAGGCCTCAGCTGCAGGACCAACAAGACCCTGAACATCTACCTTCTGGATTCAAACTTGTTCTGGTTGTACGCAGAGAGGCTGGGGGCTCCGAGCGCCGCCCGCGTCAAGGAATTTGCCGCGATCGTTGACGTGAAGGAAGAGTCTCACTATATCTTGGATCCGAAACAAGCTCTTATGAAGTTCACCCTAGGTACTGCGGGCACCTGACCTCTCCAGGCATAAACGTATCCCTTAACCTAATACTGGTCACTTTTCTCCGGGGATCTCCAGACCCCTGGTCGTGGGGTGATGTCAGCCCCTTAGCTCATTTGAATCCTTTTGACTGCAGCTGGTCATAATTTTAAGAGAAGCTCATTTTCTCTGTTAAATGGACCAGAAACTTCCTGATGCCAAATTTTGGCTAAGTTTGTCATGCCCCCTTGGGGGTGGGAGGGTAGGAGTTGAGCGTTCTAGATTGGCGGTGCCTGTGCTGTTTGGAGATGGAGTCAGCCGCATGGGTGGGAGTGTCCCGGGGGCCAAGGAGCATAAGCCCCGACAGCAGGGTCCCTTCTAGGGGGGCTGACACAGGAGGCGCTGAACCCGCACAACGGCCCGTCCTCCTTTTTGGCTCACAGGATTGGATGTAGAGGTGTCAAGGCCGCCAGACCTAATTTGTTGTGCTGCTGTTTGTCCCTTCTTGAGAGATGCTGCTATGACCTTAGGTGCTAGGCTGTCACAGACAAATATCACGTTGCAGAGCAGCAGAAACCACTTTTGGGGGTGGGGAGGGTAGGGCCAATTCTGGGAAAGCATCTGGGAGCTTGGGGCTCGTCAGCAGCGGGAAATAACACCAGCTGCCCTGTTGCCGGGACTTCACGGACTCCCCTGCTGTCCACATGAGGAAGTGAGGACTCAAAAGTCGTGTTGCTTCAGCCTCATTGCCAACGCCGGGGAAGCCAGTGCTGGCTGGATGAGACAGGAACAATTGTTAGAGAGGGAAACCTTTCATTTCCAAGTTTTAGAGGGTATGAAAGCAAGAGTAAACGCAAAGCCCCCTAAATACTAGTCCTTCTATCGGTCTTCTTTTAAGCCCTGGTGAAACTCATTTCTTGTATGGGACACCTTTGGAAAGGCATATGTCACTGCTGATGCTTTTCCTGTGCCAAGTTCTCTATTATAAACGTGAAGCTCCTGAGTGTTTAAAGGAACCTGTGACCTATTGCTCTATGAATTGCATTCTCTGTCGATACTGTAAATTACTCCTGACTTGTGTTTTCTGAAGTTATGTTTTGGTGTACTGAGTTTTCCTAAAGTGAAACAAGCCTGTTTAACACTTTTTAAAGTAATTCTGCTTGGTAATACATAAGCATTCAAAGAGCTCATAAATGTGTTCAATTTGAATTTAAGGATAATCTGAAAGAAGGCTTCTTCAGATACATTTTTCTCTTCTTTCCTTCCTTCCTTCCTTCCTTCCCTCCTTCCTTCCTTCCTCTTCCTTCCTCCCACCCTTCTTTCCTTTCTTTCTTTCTTGAGAGAGAGAGAGAGTGCACAAGCAGGGGAGGGGCAGGGAGAAAGGGGGACTGAGGATCTGAAGCAGGCTCTGCATACACAGCACAGAGCCCAGTGTGGGGCTTGAACCCATGAACCGTGAGATCATGACCTGAGCCGAAGGCAGACACTTAACTGACTGAGCCACCCAGGCGTCCCATGATTTCTTTTCCTCTTCTGCATCTACTCTGAAATGTCCATCCAGCCCAGCTCTTTGCCCTGGAGTTGGTGACAAAATTTGTCAGGGTCCCTGTGAAAAAATAACCTGTATCTCTCTGGTTTGGAAACTTGCCTGTTAAGTCGGCTGTTTCCGGGCAGTTTTGGAATTTAGGCTTCGTTCTGGTTAGGAGATAATTTTTGGTTTTCTGTTTCAGAAATATAGCCAAGTAAGTTATTCAGATGCAGATGATGAATTCTCTTTAGTATGCACATGACATTCTTCCCGTCCTCCTCCCTCTGCAGAAAGCGCACCCACTGTTGGTTAGGGCCTCGAAATGGAGAGAGAAGAAAGAGAAGGGACAGGCAGATGGGTGCTATGCCAGATGGACACCGAGTAGTGTGAAGACAGTGGAGTTAGGAGGGGAAAGCTGTTGGTTCAAGTTAGGTTTTTGGATTATTGGTGAGCTTTATGGGTTTTTCCACTGAAGATAATCGAATTTATTTTTCCTAAACTTTCAAGAAAGAAACTTGAAGGAAACAAAACCCATAGCTCCCCATCTTAAGCATTCGCCACCTGTCACCTTCCGGTAGCTTGTGTTGTTGGCCGCATTTGCAGGGCTGTTTGAAGGTCTGAGTGTCATAGGTTGAAATCTCTTCAAGATTGTGGCGTGTTGATCGGGTGTCTATTTGTGGACCAGCCTGTGAGACAAGAAGAGAATTCCTGGTCTGTAAATACTAGCGCACCTGACTCCACACGGTGTTTTCTTACCTCAGTCACTGGCTGCCGAGTTACCTGGGGCGCCCCCAGGCGGCTTCGTGCAGGGTTTTCCCTGTCAGAGAGGCGCTCGGAGTGCGAGCCCATGAAGGCCTCCCGGTTTCTAAACGCAGCGTGTAAAGTAGGTCAGCTACTCTCCCTGTGCTTCGCCAAGAGCTGATCTCCTGTTCTCTTTCTCTTTAGAGTCTTTTATTCAAAACTTCAGCGTTCTCTACAGTCCCTTGAAAAGGCACCTTATTGGAAGTGATTCTGCCCAGTTCCCTTCTCAGCATTTAATCACTGAAGTGACAACGGATACCTTTTGGGAAGTGGTCCTTCAAAGACAGGTACGGAGCGGCGGGGCCAAGCCCAGGCCGGCCCTCCCCTCGCGAGGCAGCTTCCGAAGCTGTGGGTGCTGGGGCGGATGCGGGGCTGTGATGCCCAGGTCAGTCCTCGGGAGGTCTCCCTGCACGACACGGCGCTTCTCTCACCGCGGGAAGTCCTTGGGTAGGCACAGCATCGGGGACATCTGAAAATGCGCCCGTTGAGCCCCACCGGTGCAGTGAGCAGCAGGTCTTGACCGCGTGCTGGGTCCCGAGCACGACCAGGGCAGGGGCCCTTTTCCTGGCCCCGGTAACCACCGTCTCCCCTCCCCCAGGACGTGTTGCTGCTTTACTATGCACAGTGGTGCGGCTTCTGTCCCTCCCTCAATCATGTCTTTATCCAGCTGGCTCGTCTCCTGCCGACGGACGCGCTCACCGTGGCCAGGTGAGGAAGCCTGTTCCGCCCGTCCTCCCTCCTCGCCCTGTAGCCGTGAGGTTTGTCAGGGTCTGCCCGCTGCCATAAACCTGGGGTAGGACTGGGTGTGAGTCCGTTGTCAGCTTAAAGCCATGAGCAAAACCCCATCGAAACCCGTTTCCCTGGTGAGTTCTCAGTGTTCCTTCCGCAGCATCAAGTGTGTTTAGTCCCAGTGGAATGAATTCACAGGAGGGTGAGTGTGGGGCGTGCTGACCTGGTTGCTAGTGTAACCCTGCCCATCCCCCAGCGGCCCACTCCCCAGAATCCGTGGGAAGGGTGTCCACGGGGTTCTGTGGCACTGTGGCCTCGGCCCTGATGTGCTGCCAGTAGCCCTGGGACATGAAGCTCCTCCCTCCACCAGGTCTGGCTTCTCTCCTCCCTCCTAAAATTAGGCAGAACGACTGGTTGATACCTACATGTTCTGGTTTTCTGATTCCGTGGGTACCCAGTGTGGGCTCTGTAGTAATCAAAACAGTTTTTAAATCATTGTTTTGTAGTAACAAGCCCCAAATGAGAGTTTTTGGATAAGTACTAAGCTGTTTGGGGGACGAGGGAGGAGGTGGTGTTTAGATTTCAGCCCTCCAGACGGATTAGAATTCAATACAAAGATTAAATCATAGGGAAAAAAGCAGAACATAGATTATTGTGTTTGTTAGTTTGAGAGATGGAAACTTTCCTTAGTGAAGCTGTTAAAAAAAATAATTACAGATAAACAGAATGCACTAGAAAAGCGTGCAACGAAAGAAATAAGGAAAATGGGCTCACAAAAGGACAGTAGCTCTGTTTGACAGCATCTCTACCTCCCCCACTGGGCCTGCTCTGAGAGCTGATTTCCAGCGCCGTGAGGGTTTCTGTGTACCTGTCTGCTGGCCTCCTTGTCCAGCACTCCGTGACATAGGCGTGGTTGTCACTCCCTTGACTGAGGAGGAGGCTGAGGCACAGAGAGGTTAGGTGACTTCCCCAGAGTCACACAGCCTGTGAGTGAGGGCCCAGGATTCAGAATCAGAGGCTCACACTCCCGACCCTAAGAAATGACAAAGGTTTAAGGAGCGGCCGGGAGGAAAATGCGGTCTGTCCACAGTGAGTGTTCTCAGCCTGAAGAAGGAAGGACGCTCTGATACCTGCTGCAAGGTGGATGAGCCCTGAGGCCGCCAGTGCGAAGTGAGGTGCGGAGCGAGGATGGGGCACGTACTGTGTGGCCGCATGCAGGCAGGGCACCCAGGGTAGTGTCACTCGCAGAGGGCAGTCTGGAGTCAGGTGGTGGGGACGGCCTCCCGGACTCATGTGCGCACTCGGCGCGGCCGGGCTGTGCGCTGTGACACGGTGAGGGTGGCCGGTTGTCTGTGGGTTTTGCCACGTGACAGATCAGTTGGGGTTTGGGGGAGAAACCGCTCTGAGGGACTGCTGTGTGAGGAGAAGGCCTGAATAGGTTTTTTCGTGGACGAGGAGAGTATAAATAAACGTGTGGAAATTATAGCCTAATAAATGTAAATTAAAACAGAAACGAGGTATCGTTTACACTTATTAACAGATGCTTTTAAGTGACAGAATCTTGTGTTGATAAAGTGCAGTGAAATTGGCACAGTGAGATGTAGCTAATAGAATAAGTGACTTGGCATCACCTTTTTGGAAAGCATTTTAGCAACATTTGTAAGAAATCGCAAAAAGAGTCAAACATTTTTGACCCTGTTAATTTCACTTCGGGGAATTAAAGAACTAGGACTCGCAGAGAAGCCTGAACTAGTCCCTCACCGTAGTGTTATTTGTATCCAACAGTAGAGGCACAGCTGAGTGAGTTATCGTTGGGTGTTTGATGGGATTTTCACTCATTTATTAGTGAAGTAGCTTTTCATAGAATTAACTGACAAGAATAGCGCGTGAAATGGAGGAGTTCTGCATGTGGGTGCGTACACCGGCCTGAGTGAGACTCCCGGAAAGGAGTGATGCTTGACAGTAATGTTTTCCTTTCGATTTTACTTGTTTTTGGAGTAAAGACTGGGAGGAAGAAAAGTATTTGATGATAGACTAAAGTGTGCTGTACCGCTTTTTAAAAACCGGACCGCTGGCGTTCGAGGCAGGCTCTCCCAGGCATCGTTCACAGCCACTCGGATGTGGTCACCCTTTTAGACAAACGCGTGGCACTGATTTACGCGCAGCCCCCGTGATTCTCTGAAAACTTCCATCAAGTTAATGAGTCAGAAAATCCCCATGTTTGTATGCGTTATTTGTGATGACTGATGTCCGAGCCGCCTGGCCATGGTGGCCTGCGACACTCTGCTCTCTCTTTCGAGGGCTACTTCCCCCCACTTCTGAGCAGTTCCTGCCGGCTGGGGGTGGGGGCGAAGGCTGAGTGCCGGCTGCAGGGGACCACTACCTACTTCAACAGTAAGAAGCCACAGGGTGGGTCATTTTCTGTATTAGAAAATTAATCTAAAATCTGCTAAGAAAATCACGTTTTGTGGCCTCCTTCCAGATGTGCAGAATATAAATATAAAATAGAGTGTGATCTTTATTCTCCAGTTTTCTTACATCTTCAGAGGCTTGATGTATTTTGCGCAATGATTTCCTTTTTCCAGAGCTAGTTCAGGGATTAAACTGTCTTCCCCTACCCTGTGACGGGGTGGGCCGCTCCTGACGGGTCAGGTTTCTTTTCTTTTTTTTTTGAAAGGTCATTTTTAGTCCCACGTTACTTCTACACCACAAGTTAAGTGGAAAGTTGCGTGTTCTGGAAGCATCGGTTCTTCTCGCCTGAGTTGCACCCCACTTGAGTTAGTAGTACGTTCACTAAGAGGGGATGGTCGATATGGCCGCAGAAAATGCTTCAGGATCTTCAGTTACTGGAGAAAGTTTTTCAGGTTGGAGTGTCTTGGGCTGATCTTTTTTACCCGTCCTCATCTTTCCCTTTGCTTCGGTCAGGATTGACGTATCTCAGAATGACCTTCCTTGGGAATTTATGGTTGACCGTCTCCCGACCATCTTATTTTTCCCCTGCAACAGGTAAGGTTTTTCAGTATTTTCAATCTTTTTTCAATATTTGGGCAGATGGGGTTCTTTTGCTGAAAGCAAAAGGGGTTTAAGGACTTCAAAGAAGTGAAATGCAAATCGTTAGCTATTACTAAACTATTTTGAATAAAATGTGTTGTTAAAAAAAAGTGCCATTAAGGGAAAAAATGTGCCATTAGGGGCCAGGGGGAAAAGGGCTTTGGCGTCGCCAGGTTGGATGTGGTTTTGGGTAAGAACGTCGCCCCTCCTGCAGTGTGTTTTCACGAGTGTGAATGTGGCCATGAGAGCGCCTTTACCTCTCGGTCCCGTGGGCCTGCAGTGGATGCGGAGGTAGACAGCCTGGAGCCCCAGGCTTTCACGCGCGTCGGTTTCCACCGAGTCCTGCTGAGGACCGGCTTGTGTCTCTTGTGCAAGTTGGAAATGGAGGCTCTCCTCACCATACCCTGTTCCAGGGATTCAGGGAGCCTTCTCCCCACGTGTGCAGACTGCCGTGACCCTCTGCCACCGGGCTGTCCCCGTGGTGCCTCACACCATGTACGCAGAGTCCCGGGTTCAGTGATTACGCAGCTGCCCTGAAAGACAGGGATGGGACGTAAGCACAGGGGACGGCTGGCCTAACTTGGCAGTTAGTAAACACTGGCTGCGGATGTTTTGCTAAAAGGGAAATTAACTCCTGGCCTTTAAAAGCCTGATAAACGAGATGTTCTTTACCTTTTTTTAAAAAAAAGATTTTCAGGGCACCTCGGTGGCTCAGTCAGTTAAGCGTCTGACTTCGGCTCAGGTCATGATTTCACGGTCCTTGAGTTCAAGCCCCACATCGGGCTCTGTGCTGACAGCTCAGAGCCTGGAGCCTGCTTCAGATTCTGTGTCTCTCTCTCTCTGCCCCTCCGTGCTTGCTGTCTGTCTCTGTCTCTCAAAATAAAACAAAGACATAAAAAAAAAAAACGATTCTCTTTTATTTTCAAAAGGGTCCTCAGGGGCCTAGTCACACAACTCTAATGGTATCTTTATAGGGAAAAGCATTTGCAGATGATTTTAGTGAGGTTCCTAATTCACATAGGTGATGTCTCCTGTTTTAATTTCCTGTGCTCACTTGTACTGTGCACGGCAGCAGCTGTCGTACTCTTTGTTTCTCTGGGACAGTGCTTCCTTCAGAGCTACGGAATCATTTCCTTGTTTTGTCCTTTTTATCTCAAGGCACTTTTGCTGGAACGCTTCCTGGGGTAGTAGGGTCCCTTCACATCGTGCACTAAAAACAGAGCATGACTCATCCTGTTGTGCTGATTGTTGTGATGAGCTTTTTTCCTTCTAAGAAATAAAGTGCCGCACAGCCAGGGACTCACGGACCCTAGAGCAGTCTCGTCTGTGTGGGATGGAGGTCGGGCGTGAGGTTTAATGAAGCACGGTTTTCACGTTTCAGACAGTTTGGAAAAGTATTAAAGTCAGAACACGCAGCAGGTGCCAGCAGCCAGAATGTATGGAGTTTGTCTTGAGCGACACAGAGAGAGAGACACAGAGAGTTGGTGGCGGGGGGTATGTGTTCGGGGGACTGCGTCAGGCTGGGGTGCCTTTCAGGAGAAGGTTGCCAGGTGTCCTCCACGTGGGGACGCACATTGGTGGTCCCTGCTGCCTCCCCCCCCTTTTTTTAAAAAATTTTCTAATGTTTATTTTTGAGAGACAGAGCATGAGCAGGGGAGGAGCAGAGAGACAGGGAGACACAGAATCTGAAGCAGGCTCTGGGTTCTGAGCTGTCAGCACAGAGCCCGACGCGGGGCTCAAACTCACGAACCGTGAGATCATGACCTGAGCTGAGGTCAGACGCTTAACCAACTGAGCCACCCAGGTGCCCCTACAGCCCCTTAGTATTGAAAGGTCAAGAACATAAATGCTGAACACGAGAGGCATGTCCAGCTCTTTGTTGATGCCAAAGGTTTGTTAAACCAGAGCCTTCTTACTGCTTGGGAATGGAATGTGTCTTATTTCCTACAAGTACAGAGTAGTCGGAAGACAAGTGAGCTCCTCATCAGCTGCTGCAAATTGAATGAATGCTCGGTTCACTCAAAGTGTGAACAGGCAAGCAAAGGGTATGAGCTGAGCGCTCGCCAGAGAGGAAATGAAAAATACCTTTTTTGCGGTGACTGTGCTTATGTTCTCTTCAGTGAAGAGAATGTGGAAGCGTATATGCATCTTGACAGAAGTCTGCACCCGTCTAGGTTACGTGTGCAGTAAGTAGGGACATGTCACGACGTTGGCAGTCGTTTTGGAGGAAGATGACAGGTGATGGGAGGGGTGCCTCGTTTGCTTTGCAAGTTGTCTGCAGCGAGCACGTACTTCATTTTCCTGGAGGAGAAACCGGCCGAAAGAGCTTGTCCTCTGCCACAGGGCGCGCCCTGGGCTGCCTCCTGCGCCTGGCGGGCCGGCTTTTCCTGTGTGGGGCGTCTGAGAGCCGCTTTCCCTGCCACCAGTGCGGGTGACATCGCAGACCTGAGGTGCCGCGGCGCGGGCCTGGGTGAAGGCCTCCCAGGGCGGGGCGGCTGGTGCGCAGGCCTGCCCGGGGAAGGAGCTGGGCTCTGCAGAGGAGCAGCCGCCCGGCCTCGGCGTGGCGGGCCCGTCTGTGCACGAGTTCCCTCATGCATGCCCTGTGTGCCAGCTGCGCGCTTGGCCGTTGGGGCGTCCGAGGTGCGTGAACACCCTCCTGGTGAATTCGGAGGGGAGTCACACCGTGGGGCCTTTCACCGCCGCGCTTCCGAGAGGATTCCCTTCTGGGGACTTGGTTCACTCCTGCGTCCTGCTGCTTGTGGGACGTCGGAAAGCGGTTCGGCCCACGTGTTAGGTAGGTCCCCGGGGATGGCGCCAGGAGCCCGGCTCTGAAAGAGCGTGCTGACGATGTCGTTCTCGCTCCCGTGAGGGTCTCCAGCACACACCGGGGTCCCTCGGCAGCCCGCCCGGGGCCCCTCCAGCTGCTCTGCCCCACAGCGCCGGGCCTGCGCGCAGCCAGGGGCGCATCCGGCCTCGGCCCTCCTTCCCGCCCTGCACCTCGCAGGCGCCAGGTGGTGGTGGGCCCCGTTGAATGGCTGGGAGGCTCTGCCCAGACAAAGCTTCTGGAGGTTAAGAAAACCATGCTTTACAGGAGGTGTGGTTATATGTTACTCCAAATATTTGACTTGTCCATTTCCCTGAAAGTCTCCCTGAGTCGTGTATAAAATGAGGCATATGTGATTCTAGTTTCCCTGTGATATTTATTTCATTGGGAAAGAGCTACCCATCCGCAGAACACCTTTCGTCTTAGGTATTTGGCCCCTGGCTTTGTATGTGGAGAGGGTGTGCAAGCTATTAATGAGGCATTTCCGGTTGGGTTTTTAAAGAACAGTTTGATTGTTTTTAGGGTAGTGCTCAGCGTTCAGGTAACTCTGCCCCCCTTCCGGCAGTCCCGTGGGGGCAGCACCACTCTCCTTACCCCTTCCACGGGGGAGGCCGTGCAGCGGCGCAGGGAGGCCGCAGGGCTGGGCTTTCATGACGGGGAGCGGCAGCCTTGTGGTCTGCCTGGCAGGCGGCCCCGAGGTCCCTGCTCGTCACTCCCATTGCCTTAGTACACCATAGCTGCTGTCTGACAGCCCCCCCCCCCCCGGAACCAGCTGGTGGCTTTGACCCAGTGCAGCAGTTTGTGTTTACACAGGTCACCGCGCACGTGCTAGGGATCCTGGTCACCAGACAGTTAAAGGACAGCTTCTCAAACCGAGTTTTCTGCATCAGGGCTTGCAACAGAGATTTGGGGGCAACCCCACCATATGTCACTTTCCTTCCCTTTTCTGTGCTCCCAGGGCGGGGCAGCCTTCGTTTCTCCGAGTCCCTTGGTGGGTCTCTTTGTCCCGAGTCGGGGCCTGAGTGACACCTCCCCGATCATGGTAGTAAAACTGTCTCCAGATGTTGCCAGATGCCCCTGTGGGGGGGGGGGTTATAGTCACCCCCAGTGACTGACTTAGTGCAGCGAGTCACTAAGAGTGACTAAGAGTCACTCCTGCTCTGAATAATACGTCCTCACTGCTGGCTGTGTCTTCAGACTTTCCTGTTTCACCAAGCACTGTTGATGGCTGCAGAGTGACACAGGCGACGTCCTGCTGGGGATGCCCTTCCTTACCCGCCTCTGGGCCTCTCAGAGCTCGAAGGGCCCCTCTGCCCACACGCTGCCAGCACCCTCTGTCCCTGGCTGGAGGCTCGGGCCTGGGAGCTTCTTGTCTTTCTTAGAAGGTCGGTAACAGCAACCGAGCTCTCTGTCCTCGGGAACAGACACACAGACACACATTTGAGAGAAGCCAACTTACCTACAGAACATGCACACGGGACAGCCTCCGCCCTGTAGGAGAAGCCTTGCCTAGTAACCCCTTGCTCGCTGGCTTGCCTTGCTGCTGGGAAGTAACCAGCCTCGGTAGCGGCGCGCTCACCCGACCCCCCCTCCTCTCTCTCCAGAAAGGACCGCAGCGTCAAGTACCCCGAAGACCTCCCCGTCACCCTCCCCAACCTGCTGAGGTTCGTCCTGCACCACTCAGACCCGGCTCCTGCGCCCCGGGGCCCGGCTCGGCCCCCCACCCCAGAGTGCCTGCGGAGCGAGGCCGCCTTCCAGCAGGGGCACGTGTCGCACCTGGAGAGAGAGATCGGCAAACTGCGTGCCGAGATCAGCGCCCTGCAGCGCGCGCAGGCGCAGGTGGAGGCCCGGCTGTCGAGCGCGCGCAGGGACGAGCACCGCCTGCTGCGGCAGAAGCGGGCCCTGGAGGAGCAGCACGGCCTCCTGCGGCTGCACAGCGAGCAGCTGCGGGCGCTGTACGAGCGCAAGAGCCGCGAGCTCGAGGAGCTGGCCCGGAAGCTGCGGGAGCTGGCCGACGCCTCGGAGGGCCTGCTTGCCGAGAACGCGTGGCTCAAGATCCTGGTGGCCACCCTGGAGCGGCGGCTGGAGGGCGGGGACGGAGCCGAGCCGCCCGCTCCCCCGCGAGAGGCCCGCCCCGGCCACCCCGAGCCTTCTTCGGGGCACCCGCGGCTCCCGGGCGGCCCCCCTCCGCCTTCCAACGTCAGCTCCGCGCTGGCGTCCGAGAGGAGCGATGAGAACAGGACAGGCTGACTTTTAAAATGACATGAAGAAATCAGAGGAGAAAACTGTACATTGGGAATATATTTATGCAAATTTTATTGAAATTTATTGTAAATAAAGATTTTCTCAGTGGTCTAGAAAATCACGTTGAATGTCATTCAGCGTTTATTGAACAGGGATGACATCCCTTCCACTTATTGCACAGACTTGGTAGCTTTGAGACGGAAACAGTAGCACAGTCCATCTGAAGGCTGGTCTGAAAAGCTGGTCCGCACTTCAGTGGCTCAGTGTCCCGAGTTCCCTCCCCGTCCCCTATTGCTGCTTCGGTGAGGACGTGCGGGATGAGAGGCTGGTTGCCTGGCCGGCCGGAAGAACTGAACACCGCAGTCGTGCTATTCAGAAAGAATGCAATCAGAGGTCATAACTAAGCCGCGTGAGCGTGTGGTTCTGGCGTCTACCCTTAAAAAAAAAATAGCTCTTGATAGGAAGTGTGGTGGTTGTCAGCCTCTCCAGGCACTCCCACTGGCCCCGCAGAGCCCTGCCCCGCTGGTGCCCTGCTGTGCCCGTGACCCTGACCCAGCACCCACCGCCCCCTGCAGGGCACTGTCCCTGGCAGCCGGGCGTGGTGGGATCCAGCAACCACCAGGAAACCCAGGGGGAAGGGGAAGTTTCAGAACCAAAACCTCACGGGGAAGACCAGGGTCAGGGTCAGCCCCAGGGGGTCCTCAGCTCCCCACGGAGACAGCCTGGATGTGTGCTGCGGGCAGGCAAGGTAGAAGGCCTGTAAGTTCCGAAATGCCAGGGGAACGTTTCAAACACCCCTACACCTTCTGCGTTTGTTGGGAGGGCCCTTCAGCAGGAAGCCAGCCGTCCCCGATCTTCCATGGGGCATCGTAGAACCTGCTGGCCGCCTCCGGCCCACGGGGGCTCCGAGGGTCTCCTGCCTGACTTCTCAGGCTTGGCCGTCCCCACTTAGGGGCTGACTTTTCTCCTGGGCTTCTCCTGGGCTACGTAAAGCCCAGCTGCCTGGCAGGGGCTCCTCAGTAGCCCCCCCGGGGCATCATAAGCCCACCTTCAGCTCACATTGCTAGAGAGCTACCCTTCTCCCTACCCCCAAGCTGATACACCAAGTCTGATCCCCAGGTTAAGTGCTGCTAAGATGAAGTGTTCCCTAAGCTGCTTCCTTGGGGTTCTAGAAAGTAGATTAGTTCAGCATTCTTTGCAGAGGAGACTTGGTGAGGCCAGAGAAGCCTCAGCCAGCCTGAGCAGGTCAGAGCTGTGAGGGGGTACGGGTGGGGGGAGGCTGGCGAAGCCCGGGCTGGCCCCCAGTTTATTACGAAGGATGCCGACACAAGCTTCGTTTTAATCGTGATAGCTGAGGGTGCGCTCCAGGCGGTGGGATGAACAATTAGCAAGTTCACCGAAGTGGGACGCCTTCGGGATGCAGGCTGTGGGGGTGCCGGCCCTACCAGAGAGCCACGGCGCCTCCTCTTCACAGAAACCCAGTCATGGACCTGACGCTCCCTCTCCCCGCCCCGCGCCCTCCCCAAGGCGCCCACCTCGCTGACAGCTGGCTGTCAGGCAGGTGACCCTTGGCTGCACTCAGGGCTCTCCGAACAGGGTTGGGGGAACTCTCCTAGGTGGCCCACTGGGGAAAGAAGTCCGGGACCCAGCAGGTGGCTGGTACTCCGAGAAGAAAGGAAACAAACGAACATGTGAAAGGGGAAGAAAAAAAAACCCCTCAAAGTCCCCTCCCCCCACCCTCCAGTGCAGAAAATATTAAATACGGCAACAAACAAGAAAACACGATTTCCTTTTTCCTGGGCTGGCTGGGTTTGCGATAAAGGTCGAGGCCACAGGCTCTGGTGTTCTCAGCGAAGCCTGTGCTAAGTGATGGTGGGTGGGGACAGCACAGGCTGGGGGGGGGAGGGGTGTTAACTGCTCCGCCTAAGCCGCCCGGCAGCCCTCCGGACGGGTGCCCTGACTTGTCCTTCACCGGCTCGCAGGCGGCGGCAGTGGCTTCCTTGCAGTAACTCCACTCTCAACGGGAACTGGTATTTAGCGACCGAAGCAGGGGGGTGTGGTTCCTCCACCCATTGCTAGCCAAGCAGAAATCCCCACAGCACCCGCTGCTGAGCCAGGACGCTTGTCCTCAGCCTGCAGGTGCCCGTGGATTAGAGACCCCCGCCCAGTGCACTGTGGGCCCTTCCATGTCCCAGACCCCCACCCCCACCCCCACCCCCCAGAGCCTTGAGTCAGCTTATCGTTGTGCGATAACAGTCGCACGGTCAGTCCCATGTGCTCTACGTGGTATTTTTAAAACTCAGCAAAAAAGGCTTTAAGCACATGCTTCCAGGGCCTATTTACAGTTCACAGGTTGGTGAGTTCACGCGTTACAGTAGTAGCTCCGTCAAAAACAGGCTCAGCTAAACATTCAAGTAACAAAAGCGCTATAGGGTCGTGAGCCCCGGCGAGGTCAGGCCTGCCCACTGCCTGCAATGGGCAGTCCCACCAGGAGGCTGAGGGGGTGCCCAGGGCCGCCGAGTCCTGGCTCAGGACGGCCAGGACCCGGGAGGCCGTGCATGCGGTGACGGGGCCCGGCGAGGCCATGCCAGTAAGCGTCAGCCCTTCCTCTCAGCGGCCGTGGCCGAGGCTTCACCCCACCCCCGCCTCTCCACTGGCTGCACCCAGGCCTGGGGGCCTCTGCATCCCTGCTCAGCCGTGGACTTCCGGGCCGTTGGGGGTCAGCTTGGCCTTCCTCTCCACGCACGGTCCCTTGGCCGAGTACTGCACCAGCAGGAAGGGCTCCTTGGTCTCGCCATCCCCCACGATGCTCTCCTCGTCTTCCGACTGGCTGATGCGCTGCAGCCGCAAGTAGCACCAGCAGCCCAGGATCAGGGCCCCCAGGGCCGCGATGGCAATGAGGATGACAATGACCGTGACCACGCCCGTGGTGGGGCTGTGGTCCATAATAGACATGGTCGGTGCCGGGGGAGACTCCCGCAGGAGGAAGCTCGTAGGGCGGTCGGCTCAGCGAGGCTGGAACTCAGGCTGGACACCAGAGCCCTGGAAGACAAAGCAAGGTGACTCCACTGGGACCCCGATAGCTCCCAGGCTCGGGGCGGGGGCTGGGGGCCCTCCCATGGGGCGGATCTTTAGTCAGGTCTCAGGCCTGCCATCCTGCCTCATCCAAGTGAGAAACTCGCCAGCTGGCGTTCTCTGTTTCTTTGCTCCTGACGTCACCTACCGGCGTCCTCCCCGCCGACGACAGCCTGCGCCCATCTCCCACCCTCCACACCGTCGGTGCTTCCGCTACCAGACGGGCGTCCCCTCGCCCAGCCAAGGAGCTGGAGGGGCAAGGAAGGGGACCCCCGACCTGCAACCCCACTGCCGTGGAAACGAGGGTCTGTTTCAGGTGAATGTTCTGGAAGCCCAGTACCACTAAGTGTTTCTGGAAGCCCAGTACCACTAAGTGTTCAGTAACCACTCAGGGACGGAGAAGAGCCAGTATTTCGTGATGGCCAGACGTGAGGGAACCGACAGCAGGGAAGTGACATCAGTCCCTCTCTCAAACAGGTGGCATGTGTGAGTCCCCCGAGTCTTCCGGAACACTGGGGACAGGGTGCAGCAGAGGGTAGCCTGTGCCCCGCAGGGAGCTGCAGCTGGCCCGGGAAGAGCCCTAAGCAGCCGGGTCCTGGACCGTGGAGGCACTCAGGCAGCCCTGGGGGGGGGGCAGGGAGGGACAGCCCGGACTCTGCCTGCTCCAAGCTCAGCGGCAGGTGCGGGACCCAGGCTGCAAGTGGCTCAGTACACCAGTGCCGGTCACTGCCAATGCGTGAGAGCCACGCCGGGGACCCAGCGGACCGGGTGCCAGGATGCTACAGCGGACGGGGTGGGCGATAGCCAGGGAGGCGAGGTGGAAGCTGAGCTGGGAAGGGGGCTTGGCCCTTGGGGAGGAGCGTTCCTGGCAGGGGAACGGCGTCTTGGAAGGCTCGGAAGCAGGAGCGGACCCCCTGGCCAGGGCAGGAGCCGAGGGCGGCGGGACCACCACCTTCCGGCCGCTGCAGCCTCAGGCAAGCCCCTCCACCTCGCTGAGCCGCAGGTTCGCCCTCTGTTCAGGGGGCTGGTGCCTGGCACGGGCGGCCAGCAACGGGAAGCACAGCAGACAGGAAAACCCAGACTCTCCCGGTGCCAGTGATGGAGCCCATGATGCTGTGAGAGGCTGAAGCTGGAGCGGCTGAAGCTAGCGGGCTCTCCTGGGTCCCCAGACCCTGCACTTTCTAATGTCCTCCTCACCGTAGGCGAAGCACATAACCGTGACTAGCACCCGACCGGTGTGAGGATGGGGCAAACCCGCGCCACCTTCGGCACGAAGTACGGGCCGGCTGCTGGCTTTCTCTGGAAAGATGGACATCGACGCGAGGGGGCAGCACTGGAAGGGGAGGTTCTCCCTCCAGACAGGATGGAACCTGCTGTCCTTGAGCAATCACAGCCTTAATTAGAAATGGTTCTTAACCACGCCAGGGAGACTCCCCGCCCCCCCAAGGCCAGGCTTGCCTGAAGGTCAAAGGCAGCTAAGTCCACATCCCTGGAGTCTGTCCTGGGACCAGGCCCTCGGCGGACGGCCCTGCCACTGTGCCCACGTCTGCGGAGGCGTCCTGGGTGGGGGGGGGAGGGTGTCATCCCTGGAGCCTGCCCCCATCTTCCCTCCTGCAGGGTCAGGCTGCTGCGGTCACTGTCAACAGGCTCCCTGGCCCACCTGTGCGGGTCCACTGTAGCCAATGCCCTGTCGCCCAGAGGAAAAGCCCGAAGTCCTTACGGTGACCTACAGGGCCGACGGGACACGTCCCCACCCGCTGCTTCTCCCCAGCCACAGAGACCCCGCCACCTCGACCTCCAGGCCTTGAGCTAGGCAGGTCCTCTGCTCCCCTCACCCTTGTTCCACGGCTCTCAGCCGGGGCGACTGTGCCTCCCAAGGGACATCTGGCAACGTCTGGAGACATTTTTGCTGTCACAACTGGCATGCTATGGCGTGGACAGAGGCCAAGGATGTGCTAAACATCCCACAGTGCCCCAATACCGGAGATCGCGCCCCCAACGTCAGCAGCGTGGAGGGCGAGAAACCCTGATGTGAACTCCAGCTCAGGGAGCGCCGCCTTCCAGGCTCCGCAGGCCAGGCCGGGGGCGGGGGTGGGGGGGTCCAGGAGGGTCCCCCTGTCCGGCCACCGCACCTGCTCCTCCCTCGCTCCAGGGCGCTCGCTTAGGGGGGCAACCCTGGCTCCCACAGCACGACCACGTGGTCAGCGCCTGCCTCCCCCGCGGGCTGTGTGCTCTAGGAGGGGCCCGCTCACGTCTGTGCTGCCAAGGGCACCGCCTGTCCTGGCCTGTTCCCCGTCCCTGCCGGGGCTGCCGTCAAACGCCACAGCCGCTCTCAGCCTGTCCCCACAGGCCTCCAGACAGGACAGGTGCCCCCACCTCCCCCCTAGACAGCCTGCCAGCTGGATGGGGGGGACCCGTCCCAACCCCCATGCTCTCCTCCCGCCGGGGACAACCCCCACCTGTCTCGTCCCTCCCCCTGGACCCCTTGTGTCCAGGGCCCGACTGCTAGGGTGCCTGCCCTCCCACCCGGGCAGGAAGAAAACGGAAGAAAACGCGGTATCAGAAGGGGAAGTGTGTGTGTGTTTGGGGAGTGGGGGTGGTTTGGGGGCAGGAAGTGGGAAATCAAACAATGGCAGCAAGACCTTGGGCGGTGAGGGGGTGGGGACCCCCGGGGCCGAACCTGCTGGGAGCCTAGAAGGCACCTACAAGTCCAGGGGGAAGCCAAGCGGTCCCTGGACTGATGAGGAAACTGAGGCAGCGGCAGCCCCAGTTCAGAGGGACCCCTGGGGAGGAGTGGTGACCTCAAAACCCTGTCTGCTGTCCCTGCCCCAGGCCAGGAGGACTGGAACGAGGTATGGGGCTCTCACCCCCATGAGCACAGAGCCGGGTGACCAGGCCACGGGCATGCCTGCCCCGTGCTCCCTGGCACCCCCAAATGCGTTTGTTTATTTCTTCACGGGCTCAGCAAGTTTATCCTGAGAACGGCGTTTTTAAGAAATCTCCTCGCGTCATCTGCTGCTCAGAACCGTCCCTGGCATCAGCAGAGAATCAAAAGCCCCTGCCCTTCCCCGCCTTCCCACCTCAAGGTCTCTGAACTCTCTGTTCCTTCTGCCTGGAATGTCCTTCCTGGATTGCCCCTTGCTATTGTGCGGGACTTTCTCTGCAGGTGCCTCTGGAAGACCCCTTCCCCCCTGGCTCCAGACGCCCCACCGCCCCACACCTGCCATCGCCTTGCACAGCTCGGTGTTATTCCTGAGGGCTCTCTGCTGCCTGAAGTTCTCTCGGGTCGGAGAACGTGCCGCCTTGGCAGCCTGAGTCCGTAAGCGGAGAGCACTGTCCATCTTGCCCACGGCTGGTCCCCGGCCCGATTAACGGCACGTGGCAGGTGCTCAGTACATGTCTGCTGAGCGTCCCAAGCCCGGGGACACAGTGATGAGTTAGAGGGGCGCCTGCTCTCGTGGGGATCATGGTCAGCAGCCCCCAACCCCCAAAGCCAGCTCTCCAACCCAAAGGCACTACCGGGACCCTACACGTGGGTCCCCACACCTGTCCCCAGACTCCAGGAAGCTGGCAGCCTGAGTGCAAGGGCAGGGGCGCTGTGTGCAGGTGGATCCCCAGCAGGCCGGAGCCCACGAAGGGGCAGCTGTCTCCACGTGCTGGGGGGCAGGGAGAGGAGAGGGCCGCTGGGAATCAGAGCCCGGAGGAAACTAGCTGGTTTCCCCGGAACTCCCCTTGGTCCGAGCTGGACCCCACCTCTCCTGGACTTCCCTCATGCCCTTCTGGGCCAAGGTAGCCTCTTCGATCAGGAAACGCCTGGCCCTGATCCAGGAAAGCCCAAGGGGTGAGAGAGGGGGGCCATAGCTTGGGCCGCGTCGATGCCCGGGCCGGCGTGTGGGAGACCTGGACCCCCTAGAACAATTATCAAGGAGCTAGCATGCATTCCATACATTTAATCCCTTTAACAAGCCTGCTGCACGCCAGTCCCAATCCCCCTTTACAGATAAGGAAACTGAGGCACAGAATTGGAAAGGATCACCCAAGAGTGAAGAGCCAGAAAGTAGGATGTGACCCCAGAAGTGGAAGCCCAGGAGATCAAAGGAAGGGGTCTTCCAAACGCAGACGGCGTGGGGGAGCAGGAGGGGCGGGCAACAGAACCTACTCCCTTGTCCCCAACCTTAGCAGCGTGTCCTCACCAGCTCCCTCGGTCAGGACAAAGGAAACCCGAGGCCATCTGGATCCCCTGAAAACACACGGGACCAATCCTCCAGCCTCCCACTGCGGACCCCCAGCCCTCCTTCGGCCCGGGTGGCCTGACCCTCGGATGTCAGCCGCAGCTCCGGCAAAAACAGGCTCTAAAGCCCTGCTCGCCAGTCTACTGAGGCCGCCCCCCCACCCGGGCTCCCCACTCCCTGCCCCCTCTGCCCAAGAGCAGGTTGAAAAGGACCGTCCCCACCTCGGCCACCAGCAAGCTGAGGGCAGGTGTCTTCCACTGTCCTGCTGTCCCTCAGAGGCCCAAGGCTTAGGTCTTCCCCAGTGTGGCACTGCCTCTTCATGGGACCGCAAAACGTGGCCTTAACTCCGGTCCACGGGTGGCCTTACACTCAGGCCCGGGGGGGCCACAGCTACCAGCAGAGGGGATCCCCCCCCCCGCTGCCTTCCCCCTCTGCCCTGAGCTGTGAGCTGCTCTGACCTCGTGCTCCTGATGGCCTCAGGCTCTCAGCGTGCAAAATGGACACGAGGCCCTGACCTCAGCAGCCAGGCTGTGGGGGGTGCGCCGTGGCAAGAACTGGGAACACGGAAGGGCCCTGGGGCCACCGGGGTTGCATGTCACCAGGCACGACGCCTTCCTGGTGCCACGGAGGACGGTGAGCCCAAGGACCTGCCTCCCAGGAGGGCACGGGGCCTGGTCCGGGCCTATAACCACAAACAGCCTCTTCCCCAAGTGTTTTTTTAAATTTTTTTAATTTTAATTTTTTAAAATTTATTTCTGAGAGAGAGAGAGCGTGAGCAGGGGAGGGTCAGAGAGAGAGGGAGACACAGAAGCAGGCTCCAAGCTCCGTGCTGTCAGCACAGAGCCCGACGCGGGGCTCAAGCCCACTATCCGTGAGATCACGACCTGAGCCGAAGTCGGACGCTTAACCGACTGAGCCACCCAGGCGCCCCTAGCCTCTTCCGCAAGGACACTTGCCGCCTTCTCGCTTAGCTGGGCGTATCACAAGTGTCACCACGCCCAGCAGGACACCAACTCACCACCCCAACCCTGCAGCCTACCCCTCTGGGACTACCGTGCTTACGTGGGGTCACCCCCTCCCCACTCCCAGGGGCTCACAGCACTGCCCCAGGGGGGGTTCACTCACGCCCCGTGGCAACAAAGCCGTCTATGTGCCAGGCAGGCCAACAAACCAGACTCGGCCCCTTCAGGGGACCCCAGTTCACAAACCAAAAACGTTTCCTGTCTGGTTATTTCTGATCAGGAACGCAGGACGGTAGGAAGGACAGGGCACTGCTGGGCACCGTCAGGACGCGGGTGGAACATCAACTCGGAGCCAGGCCCAAGCTGACGCCTGGACCCAAGGATGCATCCCAGGGGACCCCTGTACTCCAAAACCCAGGACCGAGAGCAGCAGCGATGCCGACGGGAACCTAACCATCCCGGGGCCCAGCCATGCAGCCAGCGTCACCTGAGCCTCTGTCACCCACCCATCCTCCCGAAGAGGAAGCTCGCACCAGAACCCCCTAGGTTCCCCGCGGGCAGAAGAGGAAGCTGGTACAGACTGAGCAGAGGGACTGCCCCAAGGTCAGTCCTGGTCGCGTGTGGCCCAGGCCTGAGGCTCCTGCTCCCACGCTGTGAATCAGCCACTGGTCATTCTCCCAGGGTCCGCCACTCGGCAAAACAACTCTGGCAATAACAGCAGGCGCTGAATAAAAGTCGGCGACGATTACTTTTTGCTAGACCGGCGACGATTACTTTTTGCTAGACCCCCGAGAAGCTGAACACTTCACGCAGATCCTCTCTCCTTTCGGGCTCAGAACAACTCTGGTGTTATCACCATGCTCACTTGGCAGATAATCTGTGGCGCAGAGAAGTACAGTCAATTGCCCAAGGTCACACAGCTCAAAAGTAGCTGCACAGGGATTCAAACCCAGGCAGCCTGCATCTGGAATCCCAGGTTTCAACCCTAACAGGAAAATATTATTCCTGACCCCCCGCCCCCCCAGCAACTCCCCACTCCCCTGCCTCTGGACCAGGTGAACCCTTCTCCCACCGGGGCAGGCTGAGTGGCGAGAGCTCGATGCTGGGGACACAGGGATGACAGGCACCCGGCAGCTACCGCGTGCCTAGCGCGGGCGACGTGCAGGCGCGGTGCCAGGCGAGCTCCACGCACCCTGTCATTTAACCCTGCCAGGCGACGCCGTCTTCCCCCCTCCGCCAAGGAGCTGGGCGAGGCTAGAGGGACGAAGGGGCTCAGCCCACTGGGCGACAGCTGGAGGGGGAGTGATAGCTAGAGAAGCAACTCCAGTCGGCCCGCCTGAGGCGGGGGGGGGGAAAGGGGGGGCACCACGATAGTCATGCCCACGCCGCGCAGTCACTGCCGACGGAACCTGACATCAAACGCTACGGACCGTCCTCAGTTTCCCCACCTGCGAAATGGGCGCCAGACGTCGCCAGGAGCCGCACTCCGCCCCTTAACCCCCCCGGAGTCCTCCAGACCACCCTGGGGGATGCCAAGACGCCCTCCTCCTCCGTTAATTTTAAATATCCCGAGGCGTCCCGAGGAATCCAGAGGCCAGCCTGGGGCGCGGAACTGCGGGCCGCGGTGGCGGGCATGCAATGGGGGTGGGGGAAACACCGGCTCCCGGCAAAGCGGCCGCCGCCCCCAGCCGCCTCCTTTGTCCCGATCTCGCCGCAGCGTAGCGGACAAAGAACCCCAGCCCGCGGGCGCGGGCCCCGGGAACAGACCCTCCCCCCGAAGCCGCGCCCCCGCCCGAGCAGCCCCTCCCCCGCCGCGGAGACCCCCCCCAACCCCCACCCCGGCCTGCGGCCGAGCCGCCCCGCGCGAGCCCCCCGCCCATCCGGGGCCACCCCTTCCCCTCCCGCAAGCCTCCCCCACCCCCGGGCCCGAACGCCCCAGCCGCGCGGCTCCACTCACCATGGCGCCGCCCGCAGCCCGGCCCGATCGCCCCGGCAGCAGCCCCGCGGGCCCGGCTCCGCCCGCCAGCCAGCCCGGTCCGGCCGCCGCGCACCGTCGGGACGCAGGAGCCCCGCTCTGCGGCGGGCGGGGCATCTCCGGCTCCGCCCCGGCAGGGGGCGTGGCCCGCTTGGAGCCGCCAATGGAAGCCGGCGCTGGGACGGCGGGGCGGGGCGGGACGGGGTCACGTGCGCGCGGGGCCGGGGGCGGGGCGGCCCCGGCGGGGCGGGGGCTGCGCGCCGCTGGCGGTCCTGGGGGCTGGAGGCTGGGGGCTGGGGGCTGGGGGCTGGGGGCTGGGGGAGGGCGCGGGGGCAGGGGGCGGGCTCGGCCTCGGCGCGCGCGGGTTGGGCGCCTGGGGTTGTGCGCGACGCCTGCGGCCGCTGTCCCTCCGGCGCCGCGAGGCTGCCCCTGTTCCCGCCCACTCACGGAGGGGGAAACTGAGGCGCGCCGCAGGTAGGAGTGTAGCCTGGGCCGGGGCAGGAGACAGGTGGGACCTTGGAACTGAACCTCCTAGTTTGGGAAAGGAGCAGGTCATTCACTCGTTCGTTCATCACTCATTCGTTCAGCGTTCATGCACGCGTTCGCCCCACGCTACGGAGCCCCCACCGGGTGCCGGGCTCGCCGGTGGCCGCGCGAACAGACACGAACAAGACAAACGACGGCCCTGCCCGCACGGAGCTCTTGTTCAGCTGCGGGCTGAGGCTGCGGGGAATTTGCAACCCCTGGGCCGCTTGCAGTCAAGGAATGTAACGTACTACGCCTGTGGTTAGCCCCCGCCACGTGCCGCGCCCTGTACTAAGCGGTCAACACACTTTTTCGACCCGAACTGGGAAGGAAGAACAAACCCATTTTACAGATGAGGAGCCCGAGGCCCCAAAGTGCTGAAGTACTCTCAGCCCCCTGGTGACAGAGGCGAGATTCGAGGCCTTGTCTGCCTATAAACAGCAAGGTGCCAGTTAGTAATCTCCATTTGCCCCCCTACCCCCAAAAAGGCAGCCCAGCGAGATGACACTCCCTTTGCGGCCAGCTGGGGCCTCCAGGAGGGTGAGAGTGGGTCCTCCACGGCCTTTGGGTCCCTACCCTCCAGGGCTCCCACGGCTTGGAAGGCCGGAAGGGGGACAGGTGGAGCCCCTCATCCTGGGAGCTGGGAGGTTTGTCCGCTGTAACAGTGTTCCCCAGCCTCAAGCAGAGCCCCTGGGAGAAGACGGGAGGACCCAGCTCACAAGGCCTGGTGGCCAGGCCCTCCTTACTCCCCCCACTCCAGCATGGCTGGTCTCTTTCCGCATTCGCATGCACCCAGCTGCCCGCCCCCCTCCCCCCCCCTGCCCCCGCCTTTGCCGTGCTCTGGCATTCTTGTCCTTCACCTTCAGATCTCCACCCGAGAGCAGTCCCCTTCATTACTCTCCCTCCCACGCATTATAAAATGGTACTTTTTTTTTTTTTTAATGGTACATTTTTGAGGGCATGTGATTAACTTGTGGTCTGTCTCTCCCCCACCCAGGGCTGGGTCTGTCCCGTTCGTTGCCGATTCCGCCGAGTCGCACCTAGCACACGGTAGGTGCGGAACATGGGACTGATGAGTGTGAATGAATGAATGATCACACTGCAGAACTCCAGGCCTGGCCCCAGGACACGCTGGCCAAGAGGGTCAGGTCCAGATAGTGAACTGGGTGGGGGTGGGGAGGGGGGCGTTAAGCAGGAATAGGGGCCAGAGAGGCAAAGGGAAGCCCAGCTACCCTTGAGGCCAGCTCGAGCAGCTCCGAGCATCAGCTCCTGGGCCCTGCTCAGGGGAGCCACACCAGGGAGCCCAGAGCAGGAGGAAACAGGCTTTTCCCCAGGAGCCAGTTCTAGAGGGTCTGTACTGTCCCAGCCTTAAGTTGGCAGAGGCCTAATTAGTGGTGAGGACATGGGAGGCCTGGGCTCGCAGATGACTGGAGACGCAGGAACCCTTTGCGGGGAAGGATTCTGGGGAAAACGCCACATGACTTAAAAGTTGAGAGACCGCTGGTTCAAATCCAGCCTTTCCTGCTGGGTAGCTTTGGAAGAGCAGCCTACCCTCTCTGTCCTTGATGTGAAAATGGGGGTGGGAGTAAGCTCACAAGGTGATGGTGAGCTCATCAAGTGCTTGGTGCAGCGGAAGCAGTCTTACCCGTTCACTCTTAACATCAGTGTTTTTTAACCTTTATTTATGTTTGAGAAAGGGAGAGTGTGTGCGAGGGGGGGAGGGGGCAGAGAGAGCAGGGGACAGAGGATCTGAGGCAGGCTCTGTGCTGAGAGAAGAGAGCCTGATGCGAGGCTTAAATCCACAAACTGCGAGATCATGACCCAAGCTGAAGTCAGACACTTAACCGACTGAGCTACCCGGGGACCCCATGGGCGTTCCCAGTCTTAACATTAGGAACAGGGTCAGACAGGTGTGGGGTGAACTTGGCCTTCCCCGTGTGGAATTTGGGCAAGTCACTGCACCTCCCTGAGCCTCAGGCTCCTCTTCGTTGCAGGCGGACCCCTGAAACCCATGGAGTGCTCAGAGGTGTAGGGCTGGTAGTGGGCGACCTGGGGCCAGGCTTCCCCTTGCCCAGCGTGAGTTGTTTCACTAATAACGCCACCAGTAACAGTAGCAGCAAATGGCAAGGACCGCATATGCATAAGCACATTTTAACCCCATTCTACAGATGGGGAAACTGAGGCACAGAAATCACCTGTAGGTTGTATTAAAATACATATTCTGACTCAGTAAGTCTGGGCGTACGGTTCTGCTTTTCTCACAAGCTCCCAGGGGTACTGGTGGTTTGTGAACTGTGCTTGGAGGGACGAGGGGATGAAGCACTTGGCCAGAAGTCACACGAGTGGGGCCCCCGAGCCTGGTTTGGTTCTCACATGGTAGGCCACAGAGCGCCCTTAACCTTGGCTGTAACTGCCTGCCTGGCCCCAGCCTTCTCCCCTACAGAAAAGAAGCAGGAAGCATAGGTCCGCTCCCCAAGGCCATTTCCTCTGTCAGGGCCCCTACCACCTCCCTCCGTGGTGACATCTGGCCCTTAGAACCTCCCAGCCCCCAGCATCTCCCCAGGGTCCTCTCTGTTGATGGCGTGGAGCCTCGCAGATGCTCATTAGCCGGGAAGATGATTAAGGGCAAGGGATGAGTTCACCCTGGCTCCCTGTGGCTTGCCAGGACCCAGCTGGGCCTGCCCTGTGCCAGCCTGGCCCTGTGCCTGCTTCCCTGGGGGGCCGGAGGAGGGGCCGAAACCGGGGAGGGGCTTGCTGGGGTGCAGAGAGCTTGCAGCCAGCTTCCCGAGCCTCCAGCTGGGCCTCCCTGCTTAGCCACAGCCATCAGGCCGGGCAGCCGTCTGCTCCTGAAGCCTCCCCCCAGAAGGTTCCAGGCCTAAATGCAACTGGAAACTGCTTGGCCTCAGGGAGGCTTCCCAAGGAGTGAGTCCTGCAGGGTGGGGTTAGGTGGGGCACAGAGGAGGCATTGCCCAGCTCTGAATCACACAGCAGTTCTCTGGGTCAAGGGAAAGAAGCATCACCTACTGTTGGGCAACTAGCACATCCCTTGGAGGCCAGCTCCGCCCCTTATATCCAGGAGACAGCAGACCCTGGGCTCAGAATCTTGCTCCATCTCACCCTTGACCTAGAACTTAGTAGCGTGTTGTTCTCTGCCTCGTTAGGTTTGCAGTTACCTTCTATTTGTGGCATAGGTATTTGCTTTTCCATTGATGGCACTGACATACCCATTGCTTTTCACATCACTCTCTTTAGTGGGGTTGGGGGGGTGAGTCACCTTAAAGCAGAATGTGATGGAAGTAAGTGTATGGGAACGGGGAGGCAGTGGGGACGGTGGCAGATGGTTGGATGAGGTGGGTCACCTGTCAGCTGAACACTCACAGCTTAGGCACCCACAGTCCTCTGAGTGCAGGGCCCTGCGTAGCCCCGGACTGGAGCCAGGGTCACCCCCTGGGGTCCTGTGTGCCCCAGAACACTCTGTCTGGGTGCTCAGGGTTTGCATAAGGCCCGGGTCAACTCTGGTCTTCGTTCCTGGGGTCTGTGGTGTCGATGTGATGAGGAGACCGAAGGAGGAGGAACCACACGCCTCACCTGAGATGCTCTCCACCCTGGGCTGCCCTGCTCTCCATCGAGGGACTCACACACACGTACCCACTGGCGCCCGTTAATCACCCATTCACTAACTCATTCATCTGCCCGGTCTTTACCGGGCACCTGCTGTGTGCCAAGCCCTGAAATAGCCGTGAGGCAGCCAGCTGGAACTCAGGTTAGGAGCTTCAGGTCCACAGAATGATGGGCCCATCGTAATGCAGATCATGGTGTATTCTCTCTGGTCCTTGCGTGACCTGCTTTTATTTTATTTTTTTAAATATTTTTGAGCATTTATTTACTTTTGAGAGAGGGAAAGAGAGTGCATGAGCAGGGAGGGGCAGGGAGAGAGGGAGACACAGAATCTGAGGCAGGCTCCAGGCTCCCAGCTGTCAGCACAGCGCCCCGTGTGGTCTGAACCCACAAACCACGAGATCACGACCTGAGCCAAAGTCGGATGCTTAATTGACTGAGCTACCCCAGGCGCCCCTAAAAATTTTCATAATTATTTTAATCATATACCCCCCACCCAGGAGCCCATCCATCAAAAGCTAGGACCCTAACGTGGCCAACATCTAATCCTGAGGCGCCCCCCCACCCCCACCTTGAATCCTGTCTGCATTGCTGCCTGCTTTCCTTTTGTACAGTTTTATCATACCTACATCCTAAAAAGTCGACAGGCACACGTTGGAGATATTGTCGGTTTTCTTCCAGACAAACATAGTAAAGCAAATACGGCAATAAAGCAAGTCAGATGAATTTTTTGGTTTCCCAGTGCATTTAACAGTCAGGTCTACACTGTACTGTAGCCCATTAAATGTGCGATATTATGTGCAAAAACCAATGCACATGCCTTAATTTAAAACATACTGTATTGCTAAAAAACACTAGCTATCTTCTAAGCTTTCAGTGACTCATAACCTTTTTGCTGGCAAGGGGTCTTGCCTCATCGTTG